ACACATTTGATTTAAGGAATACCTATGGTTGATACATCTGCGAAGACAAGAATGGGCGTTGATGACGCTTTTTATACTCTAGTACGCGAAATTAGAAGGGTGAGTGTACTTTTAATTTGGTTTTATTGATTTTTCCTAGTCTAGTACTTTTGAGTGTGGGGTCATATAATAAGGTTCGCAGACATAGCCTGAAGGACGTGATGTCGCTGGTTCTGAAAATAATTGTCATATCAAAACAAAGGGTATGCTCGTTCTACTTAGGCAAAGACCGACTAGTCATTGTTTTAGCACCGGGAGCGGAATCGTGATGCACCGAGAAAGAAGAAAAAGTGCTCAATTCTGTGAATGTGAGTGCTGCAGTTGCTGATACGTGTGCTATGTAATGTGCGCCTTCTGTTTGGAGCGTTCCGCGCCTCTTCATATCAATTCGCTCTCCTCTCCAATAGTCAATTCCGTTTAGGAATTTTACTTCTTCTCAATATTTTTTCTTTTTTTTTCGGTCACGTTTGTGACAACCACGCCTGGCTATTACGTAATATTATATATAAAGCTCAATAATTTTGCAGCGTTTCCTTGGTTTTGTTGTCGTGTTCATCGTTCAACGTGCCTGTCACTAGATAACGTCTTGGTGGTTCTATTTGATGTTACATTACTTTTCGTACTTGTGCACATCACATGTTTCCTCGTTTTTCCTCGGTTCTATACTTCCTGGTAATTTGCTGGTACTTCTTTCTGTCTGTCAGTGTCTCTCAAATCGGGCCCGATCCCAATATAGTCATCATCCCACTGCGCCGTTGCTGCCCTCTTCTCCCTCTCAATGCGACTTTAACCGCTGGTCAAACGGGTCTGAAACAAAATGCTTTTACTCATTGACGGCAACTTAGATGGCATTTCGGACCCGTTATCTACTTTATATACCAGTACTTCTCTTTAGATCTATATATTATAACTGTTATATATTTTGCAAATGAATGTTTGCCGCTCAGATATTATCTTTTAATCGTTTTTTTTGTTTAGTATCACAAATTGTACATTTTCTTCGAAGTCTTAAGAGTTGTACGGTTTGTCGCAGTTATGTCAATGATGCCGTCGACGTTCGATTTTCTAAGTTCGATATTCTAATGATACGTTAGTGTTGATTACAACGATGAGTGAATGTAAATCCACTAATCTTTATCTGAAAAGTTTTATCTTTTCATTTTTTTAAAATATGAAGCTTGAAAATTCTATTGTTCCATTCCCGTTGTTTCTTAAGTCAAAGCCAATCTTAACATGCATCGACGTTTTAGTGAGTATCATTTGAATGCCTGTCTTAAGAAAACAACTTTAGAGTCCAATTCATTATGTAATGGGCAAATATGAAGATTTTTTTGTTATTGTAGACGATTGATTGTATTCAAGATCGTTCAGATTCCAGTAAAATATTCTGAAAGTAATCGACTATTTTGTCAAAGTGTGTCGCGCAAACTTACCATTATATTCAAAATATTTCGGGTTCTGCATAGTTTTTGATTAATTTTTTCAATCATTTGTTTCATGGTTCCTGGAGTGCTGAAGGCAGTCAGTTCTGTTTGAAGTTATTGGTGGTCTAGCCTATTTCGAGTTATCGCCGTCCGAAATTATGGGGATATTTTCCTTGAACCTCACAGCTGCTGACCATTTGAGGGATTGTAGTGGACAAGTCATGTAATTTGGATTTTCACTTAGGTTTCATCCCACAGACTTTTCACTGAATGCTGGAGATAGCTTCACAGGGATATGTTGTCACTTTTGTAGGTCATTCGGTGAGTGTTACAACGAGGCGGTCGTACCTGCTATACTTGCTGTAACGAACGAAGAATTTTCATCGACCTTTTGAGACGGTACCATCTAATGCACTGCTTTGCATGAAGGGTTAGGCTGAGTTTTATAGATGCTTGGCTGGCCATGAGCACACAAATTTAGGTACCCTACTAGGTACTTTTGGTCGTACTTTTGTGCTAACAGTCGCGGCCTTGGGATTTCTTATGTAAACTCTGCAACACGACCTTTATCCATTTTCTTTTTTTAAAATCAAGTTACCGAGATAAAAAATAATCTTCGGCGGACATGTCTGCGTCTTTTCGAATCAGTTATGTATTGCGGACCCGTTTGCTCTGTCGTTGGATTTGATCGAATACCATTCTTTTCTGGTGTGATTCGTAATTTCGAGGTCACATTCATGACAGAGCACAGGTGTGACAGAGCCATGGTGCTTCTCCGATTCTGATTTCTTTCCCACACTTCCTCCTACCCTGTTACGTTTCTGCCTTTGCTACATCTCCTAACGCCCACTTTGGGGTGTTTTAGAAGACTGACTCAAGGAGTCATGGGAAATGGTGGTTGTTTACCCGAAGTTCCTCGTATGAGGAGCATCAGCTGGTTTCATGAAATCGTACTCTTGAGACAAATTAATTTTTTACAGATGACAAGAAAGCGAAAAACTGACAATACTCAAAGTGAAAATGACGTTGGAGACAACAAAAAGGAGCGATCTTTTGACTATGATTACCAGAACTCGTCAGAAGAAGGCCCTTCCACGGATAGGGATCCAACCCAGAGCGACAGCCAGTACCAGCGAACATTTCCAAACAAAAATCGAGGTAGAGGCGATTATCGCGGCCGTGGAGGACAAAGAAATCATCAATTTACTAAGGGGAGAGGTCGAAGCTACGACACTAATGATTTCGATCGGGTACGTCTTTGAAACTAGTAAGACACACACTGGTGTACGAATAAGTTTTTGCTGTTGCTATTGCAGAAGTATGGACGAGTCGGTGGCGGTAATGAAGATGAAGTACGCGAAAGTATAAGAGAAGAAGGTAAAGGGAAGGAAGAAAAGGAACCATATCCCGCTGAACTGGTAGCATATTTAAAGAATATTGAACAAATGCAAGTGACAGAAGGACATTTAGGTTGGCGGTTCTGAGTTTTGCGATTGACTAGTTGCTCGTAGGGTTTCGCTCTTTAGATAATATGGTAATCGATAAATGTGCAGAAGAATGTACGGGTGAAGAAGAAAAGCTGCTATCCTTCAGAGATTCGTCCATTGTCGTTGAAAGCGTATTCGGTACGATTTTTCCCTATTGATTTTTTGGTCCAGCATTGAACTTCCCCTGATGGTTTACGTATTGTATGCCCCTCCATGAATCTAGAGATATCAGTAAAATTTGCGAATCAGATTAAACTGTATCTTTTGAAGGTTCTTCGCAGCGTGGAGCAGAACTGTTTTTGTCTGGTCTGGCAAGGCTGAAACATAAACGGTTGCTTGATCTGTTTTTCTCTGGAACATCAGCACATGCTATCGAAACATTGTTCTATGCACTTCTACCGATTAAAACAAACAAGCCTGTTGAGGTAAACAGTCATTTTTCGGCGGATTACAAAATCATATGAAAGTTATTGTTGTAACTTGCTTTTGATTTCAGCTACTAGAGAAATTTTCTGATTTACTTTGTGATAACTGGAACGATGCAGTGGGTTGCCAGCACTCAGCATTCCTTGTTCGATGTTTTGCCTGGGTTGCTTGTGGATTGAAGAAGAAAGACAAGGTATTATTACTCTTTTATGTGAATCTTATACTTAAGTATGGATGTTAAAAATGTTTTCTGACCCTAATACTGTTTCGCTACTGCTGTTGCGATTGAGGTTTTAGATTTGAAGCCTTCTAAGACTATTCCCCTCTAGTTTTACTCTTCCCTTTAATCCATCCCTTTTCATGGCAACACGCACAAGTACTATTGAGTTTTTCCACTAAATTATATTCTCACTACTGCTTTTCAGACTTCACATGAGGATTCAACCACCGCACAATCAATAGAGGATCAAAGTGCAGACATAAAAGTCGGGCTGTCGCGAGTCTTCGATCGAATAGCTTCACTAGCACTGGAGAGCGCGGCCACTCGTATGTTTTTGAATTTTTTCTACATTCTAACCTTCACTCCTGCTCCCTAAGTGGCGATTCACAGAGCAGGACAGGGCTGAATTGAATTTTCTATTCTACTACTGAGGCACAGCCCGCCTGCTCTCCTTTCTCAGTAACCGATTTATGTTCAAGTCAACAAGTATATTCAGTAGTCGTTCATCGTAGATTATAAGCCCTGCCTCGAGCAGAGCGTTTTGATCGTCATTCTCCCTCTTATGATGACTAAACCCCTCGCATCTGCACAAGCAACATGAACCATGTATCATTTGATTAAGCAATTTTTCAGCTCGAGTTGAAAATGTGCATCTTTCACTTGTTGTTCAAGACGTCTTGGAAGCTGACAGAATTGCTAAGCTTGGAAAATCTACCTTACTTGTTGACAAAATTCTCACTACAACTACAGGAAATGGTGTGTCAAAGCTTTGTTTGAAAATGGCGTCTTAATATGGTCATAACAATTTTGATCAGTATTGTAGTTTGATCATTTGTATTTGATCATTGTAGTTTTTCTTTGCAGATTTGCGTCAGCTATGGATGGGTAAGAATAGCTCACGAGTGTGGGAAAAATTAGTAATGACATGTCGTGAGGAAACCCTACAATCGCTTTGGGAAACTATTGTAACGGGCCATGTGAGTTTATTTCCTGGAATGGCTAAAAATGTCGGGCAGTTTCAAAAAAAAACTTGCTGCTAGTCTTCGATTTCCCTTTTTGTTTTCAGGTGTCAGAATTAGCGGCTCATCCTTCTGCCAACTTTCCGTTGCAAAATTTCATCAGTAGTGTGAAATCGTTGGAACTGGTGCGATTTCACTAGAAAATAGTTCTCTTTAAGCATTTTGTCACTTTCTTTCCTACATCCGAAAGCTTCGGTTACATTGAACTTAACTAATTGACTTTTAGGCAACAGACGTGTGTCATGAGACAACGCCGTTAATCCAAAAGTTCCTATCAAGTGATCGTTGGGGTGTTGCGCAGGCATTGCTGCGATGCGCTGCTAAACACGAAGATTTGCAAGAGCCTCTACTGAAAGCGCTGAGACAGTATTTCAGAGCCGGCACGGTATGATTTCTTTTCTGACAGTGTGGGAGCGTAATGTAAGGGATTTAAGCCACGGTCTAGTTTGCATAGGGCGAAAAATACAGTTGAATTTTTTTCTGTTTTCAGAAGGAGAACAAAGTCAATTTCTTGCTTAATATTGCCACAATGAACAAGTACAACGGAAAATCGTTTAATGATTATGATTTGCATTTGCACGTGAGTTGATTGATCTTCAAAAGAAATAGAGTCGCTTTACACGGCAAAGATGCCCGCGTTCGTCACAGTTTTTTTCCTTATTTACAAACGTAATTCTGCTTCATTTAAGGGCTGCTTGCTACTGGAGGTGTTACTGACGTTTAATAAGATTAAAACTTTAACTGCTTGTGTCGAAGCACTTCAAGCGTCGGATATTGTTAAATTGGTAAGCGGACTATTCTTATTTTTCCTCCAAGTAGCATGATTAATCCAGTTCGGGTTGTTACTCAAAGCTTGCGAAGGCAGGAGTATTAAGTCCAGAAGTAAAAATCCTGGACTGGTAATCAATCCGTCTGAGAGATGCGCCCACACATTCGACGAGGCGTATTGACCGCGTATGTGGCCTATACAATGATTTGCGGCTGGTACCAATTACTCGACACCGGAGGAACAGAAGGCCTGGTTGGCATAGGCGGATTTCGCGACAGTATTCGAGCCCATAACCATGCGTGTTGGACAGTGCGCCACTCGCCTCTAAATCACCTCCGCTAATTAGGAGGAGTATTAGAACCAGAAAATGGTGTGCTATCCCCTTGGCTGTTTGTTAAGACCATATTTTTCCATTACCTATTTTGTCAAATTTTCAAGCTTCTTTTTTGTTTCGCCCGTTAACTTTTCATGTTTCGTCAAATTAATTATAGACTTCTACTCAGTATTTACCTTTTAGCATTTTCTTCCTGAGGGTTTCGGCATAATGGAACTGTCGAATTTTCAACTTTAGTATAACCCACTTGACATCCAATAGAATTTTTTGTAGGCAAAGAACAAGTGCGGTTCCCATGTTCTTCAAGCTGCTTTCAAAAGCGACACTCTAGAGGAAAGTGTGAAGGAGAAATTAATAAATGCCTTTGAGGTGAGCTATGGCTTTCCCTTCGTTAACTTTACAGATCATTACAAAGTTGTTTATTTTAGTTCGTGTTCTGTT